ATTCATATGGTTTCACCAAATCACCTATTTATTTGTATGATTCGTATGTCCAGGCTGTGGCCCCCCAATCGACATTGATCGCACTCCTGCTTATGACCTCGGTGGCAGCCGGCTCCTCGAGTGGGTGTTCTTTCTCATAGAGTCATAGAGAACAATAGGGTCCTCCTCATTTTCCTTTCGCCCCCGTGCACCACGTTTTCCACTGCGCGGTGACCTCCCCTTCGGAGCCTGCAGGCTCCCAGGATGCGCAGACGCGCCATGGCACCCTTCTTGCTTTGTGCGCCTTGGAATGCGTACTCTACTGCAACCTGGCCGTCTTGGAACAGCCCCGATCCTCCATCAGGAGGGGTCTGACTGAGTGGATAGCTCTACTTGCCATGCTGCGTGTTCATGAAACTTGGACTTCGTCTTGTGCCTTCGGGTCTCCCCGCCAGAAACAATTCAGGTTTTTGTCGGCTGGGATAAATCTTGCAAGGATCCACCGGCCTTGTACCTGCGCCAGGAAGCACCTCCCTGTAAGGGGCCGTTGCGCAAAATCCTCTGCCACCTACAACCCTGGGCTGACATCTTCTCTCGCGCCATCCGGTCCACTTCGAGCTGTTGGCGAGGCTGACGTCGACGTTTCTGGACTTGAGAGGACTGCCGTAACTTCCCTCGCCCTCAGTCCCTGGGGCCTTGACCACGTCTGGACGTGGCCGAGGCATGTGCTTGGAATCCTCTGCCGTATGTCGCGCACCTGTGTGACTCCCACGTTGCCTTGTCGGCGCTTGGCGCTCCTCAGTGGACTTAGGCATGTCTGCCGCAGGGCTGCCTGCACTGGCCTCTAACCCGGAGCCTCTTCTGTCCTACCCGTGCTATGCCTGCCGATCCTGACGCTCCTTTTCCGGAGCCTTGTGATGGCAAATACACTGGACTGAGGACCGCGTCCTATCCGACGCTAAGAGGCCTCGTCTCAGACGCTGGGCTGCCAACTGGGTCCGCCTCGTCCTTGCGTTGCGTCCACCTGTCAGTGACCTTCCTGAGTCCTGAGTGGCTCGACGAGGGCCGTCTCCCTCACAAGCCTTGTAGAGCCTTTGTCTTTTCTCGGGGTTTTGACTCGACTCCAGCTTTGGAGAAGGCCCTGCTTGGCGTCTGCATTCCTTGTGTGTTGTGGTCGGGGGGCTTGGCCTTAGGTTCTTTGGGGTTGTAGTCTGCTGTGCTAGGTTTGCCATGGCGCCTTCGAAGCGCTCGCAGGTCTCCTTGCAATCTGGAAGGCCGGTGCAGCATCTGACCCGAGCACGCCGTGACAAGCTTAAAGAACTGTTCTCTGGGTGGCTTATAAGCAACGGACGTTCATGTGCTGGATTGGTCCGGACTGCAAAGAGCGACGTCGACCAGGCCAACCACGTCCTGGTTCACTTTTGGCAGGTGGCTGTATGAGAATGGCAAGCCATATTCTCATTATTCCGAGACGATAAAATTTTGTTCTCTTCAGAGTGCCCTTCGATCCGCAGGATGCTTCAGCCAGCGTGGGACCTGGCGGGAAGAGCCGGCAGTCCACCACACAGCTATGCCTTGGCAGATCCTTGTTGTGATGCTCACGACCTGCCTTCTTTATGGTTGGGCTTCTGTAGCAGGATGCCTCGCGCTTAGCTGGGGTGGACTTGCCCGAGTCGGAGAAGTTCTGGCAGCACGTTGTGCCGACCGCGTTCTGCCGGAGGACACAGGAGAACACGCAGAGAACGTCTTGCTCGCCGTCCACGAGCCGAAGACAAGGTTCTGTGCCGCACGTCATCAGTGCTTGAGAGTTGACCAACCACAGGATAATCCTCTTTGGTTTTGGGACGCTGGACCCCGCTGAGAGACTGTGGAGTCTGTCTCCTTCGCCTTTGTGTAGCAGGTTTAATTAAGAAGCTGTTGGAAGCTCTGAGGCTGAAGCCGAACGTCATCCCTGGCGTGCGTGATATGGATCTTGGCTCCCTCCGTGCAGGAGGGGCCACGTGGCCCATGACCGTTTCAGAAGACCCTGAGATGGTCAGTAGGCGGGGAAGATGGATCAGCTCAAAAATCATGAAATTCGGAAGTGTATGCCCAAGAAGTTTCGTTGGTGCTTTTCTTGCCAAGGTTGCCTCCGCAAACAAAGCTTTGGATTTGCAGTTTGGCAAACGCCCTGGAGAAGGCTGGTATCCCCGTACAACACTTTGCGCACTTGAGGGTTCAGCCCAGACTGTGGTTCTACCTCGTTGGTCGAGGCGCTGCGATGCTGTAGTTGTTGGGTCTGTTTATGCTTGAAAGATCGGGCGGAGACAACGAGGATCATTTGCCATGCGGCAATTTCACTTGTGCAACGCTCTCTCGAGATGCAAAAAATGTGCGCCACTCTGACAGTAGAGTGAAGCACAACTTGCATCGCAGCTGTTTCGGACCCGCCCTCCACTCCCGCGTCCTCGACAACGAGGATCATTTGCCATACGGCAATTTCACTTGTGCAACGCTCTCTCGAGATGCAAAAAGTGTGCGCCACTCTGTCTAAGGCTGTCTGGCTCGAAGCTTTTTGTTTCTTCAAGATAAAGCCTCGGCTGGAGGTCGTCAAGGCTTGAGCCACGGAGGCCTGTTCACGCGAGGTTCCGAATTGCTGAGGCTAGGGAGCTCAGCTTGGGGCCTTAGGAAGGCCTTGCAAAAGGGAGGCTTGGGAGGCCCTGGCTGTTACCCCCCTCCGTCAAGCTCTCGCCACCTGGTCCCGAGATTTGCTGGCAGAGAGCCTGAGGAAGAGGCCCGCCTGCTCAAAAAGAGGGACGCATCGCTTCCGTGCAAGGTTTGGGGTACCTTATTCTCAGGGCGCCCTGACGGGTTACTCGCCAGCGGCCTGCCGGGCCAACCGCGCAGCCCACAGCTGCCTGTGGCACTGGGAGCTTTGTCGCCCGCCAGAGGGCTTTGGGCTTCGGAGGCCTTGGCCTGGGCTCCCTCACTTTTGGGTTTAGGGTACCCATGAAGAGACTTACCCGGGACTTACCCGACTTACCCATGAATCCACACAACCAACCCCCTGACTCTAAGCAACATCCCATGACCCTTTCGCCAGAGGAGAAGGTCCAATCGCCAATTCCTACCTTCCCTACGTTGGGGGCTACTACCGTGCAGCGTGCTCAGGCTTCTGGTGCACAACGCTCAGACTCCCTTGTAATTTGTGGTTAGGTTTTAAGTGAATATTTTCCTTACAGACTCCCGAAACAATGAATTCCCTTAATCCCACTGGTCTTTAGTTTGTCCCCAGCCCGCCCATGCACGTGCTTGTGAAAATGTTTTTTCGTCTACATCCAGGTAGAGTCCTCATTTACAAGGATCCAGCAAGGGGTCAAGATTTGAAATGCAATCCCAGGGAAAGCCAGAAAGTATGCTTACTCTAAATCCTGAGCCCTGTTCCCTTAACGCCTAGAAGAGGCCTTTGTCACAGGCTCACCAGAAGCACCTGCCACCTTGCAACAATGCATGTTCCATTCAGTCGTTGAGACTTGATTTGTACTGGGGTTCTGAAGACACGCAAGTTTGGAGCTTGCAGGTGGGCTTTCAGCCTACAGTTGTACCAGGAGAGGTTTAAGATCTTGGATTGACATGGGGATAGGTTTTCAATAGTATCTTCGGGTGAAAATGGCATGTGAGCCGGTGGTGCGTGCAGATGGGCAGCATCTTCCTATTTCTTCTGATTCTGCTGGTAGCAGTGCTGTGTTCTTGCACAGGATGTAGGTTCTACTGCAAAACGACATTCCCACCCCTTGTGCCCTGCAGTGGAGGGGCCAAGCTTGAACCCCCTCAAGGCCTGCCGGAACCACCCCAGCGGGAATCCTTACATCTCTGAATCAATCACTTCAAGCAGCAGGCGGCTGTTGAAAGTAAGCCTGTAACATATAACCCTCTATACGCTTTGTACACCGGCCCTGTTGTAATGCTTCCTTGAAGATACAGCACCGTAGAAGCATGAGTCAGCATGAGAAAGCAAAATGCCGGCCAGTCCATGTATCCTCGTTCGCGAAGCCAGACTGTGACAAGTCAAGCTCGAAAATCGACTTTCGCCTAATTGGAGATAAGTGCAATCAACACAACAATCTGCATGGGCACGGACTATAACCAGCTGCTTCACATTGCAAGCTTAGGACTTAGAGATGTTGGGAGCGCACAGGGGATTCGCGCAGGCCCGACTTTGTGCAGTTTACAAGCTGGCCGTAACTAGCCTCCAATCATTGGCGTGGCTCAGCCTTTAGATAAGGAGCTAGTAGACTTTCTCCCTATGATCTTGAACTCTGCAATTCTGAGGACCCCCCGCCCAAGTTTTCCAGCAGCATCTGCACCTGAGCAGCCTTCACAGCTTGGAACTCGGGTCCAGGGTTTGGGGCTCAGGGTCATTGAGGGGTCTAGTCTCTGAAGCGCATGTAGGAACCCTGAACCCTAAATCCTAAGCCCCGAAACCTAAACTCTGAGAAGGTTGTAGTTGTTGATTTCTTAGCATGTGCAGTCATTTGCTGTCGGGCCTGGTGCACATGTTCCTGACTGTTAGACACAAACCCCTAGAGAGTCTAATAGCTTATAGGGTTTATAGGGTTTATAGTCCCCCTAACTGGATAGAATATAGGGTATATGGGGATCTTATTATAATATACCTTAAGGGGACTATAGGGGGGGGTTTAAGAGTTTTGGGTTTAAGGAGCTATTCTGACAGCGACCCGCGACGAAACGCGGATCCGCGCATCCATGCATCCGCGCATCCGCGAACTCGCTAGCCTGCGAATCCGCGAATCCGCAAATGCGCGCATCCATGCATTCGCGAGTCTTGGAACCCGCGAATCCGCGAAACTGCGCTGCCGGCGAATCCGCAAATCCGTGAATCCGCAAATGCGCGCATCCATGCATCCGCGCATCCGCGATAGTATCCCGCGAATCCGCGAATCTGGGAATCCGAACATGAACGTACTTATGGCTTGGGCATGGATGCTCTGGTCACTGTATGCGGTCGAACATGAACGCTCCTATGGCTTGGGCATGGATGCTCTGGTCATCACATGCCTGCTGGAGATGTGACATATTTTGGTTTGGGCCTGGATGGTCTGGTCACCGTATGAAGTCGAGCATGAACGTTATTATGGTTTGGGCATGCATGCTCTGGTCATCGTATGCAGTCGAACATGAACGTTATCATATGGTTTGTGCTGGATGCTCTGGTCACCGTATGCGGTCGAACATGAACGTTCTTATGGCTTGGGCATGGATGCTCTGGTCACTGTATGCGGTCGAACATGAACATTATTATGGTTTGGGCATGTATGCTTTGTTCATCACATGCCTGCTGGAGATACGACATATTATGGTTTGGGCATGGATGCTTCGATCACCGTATTTGGGTCTGGACGGTCTGGTCACCGTATGAAGTCGAACATGCACATTATGGTTTGGGCATGGTCGCTCTGGTAAGATAAAAAAAGATGCGCATCAACCTGGTCGAAGTTAGAAAGTCGGGGATGGGTTATGGCATTAGTGGACATCTGCCTCCGCATAGGGAGGCCGAAGCGCGAAATATGGCATTTGTTGGGTTCGCGGTCCGGACTTGAAGTTGTTGTCCTCCCTTTACTTGCTGGGATTCTGCATTGTTCTGCCCATCTTTATGCCCATGGCGTTCAGAGCAGAATTGAAACGGTCTTCATGTGTTCAGCTTACTGTCAGGGTCGTGCGTGGGAGCACGGATTTTCAAAAGCGAGTAATGATAGTGCCAGGCCTTCTTACATGAAGGTACAACATCCTGGGCCTAAACCCTATACCCTAAACCTTGGGCCTAAACCCCAAACCCTAAACACTGGGCTTAAATCCTGAACTCTAACCCTGGGCCGAAACCCTAAACCGGGTTTAGCTTACTCTGGGGTTCTGCCGGACACGGCCATGCCTGAAGCCTCGGGCCTGTCAGAATCCTGAAGGTGAGAATCTTAATTGTTATGGCTTTCCCACGGATTCTTATGAGCCCCCAAGCTTTCTCCAGGGGATTAAACCCACGAAGAAAGGGTTGGTTCGCCCGTTTGATGAGAGGGACTGATCTTCTAGCATGATTTGTTTACTTTACCTTGCAGGACACCAGGTCCGAGAAGGTCATGGGGTCAATGGTGTAAAAACTATTGTAAATTTCAGTGGACATGGCTCCCGAGTATCACCTGTCACCGGAGTGGACGAGTTGCAGTCAGCTTACAGATTGGAAGCATCCAGTAAAAAAGTTCTACATCGGTATGATTAGTGATGTGCTTCCTCAGGGCATAAGTTGAAATCATAGAGCCACAGCAAACTGAACAGACTGGGAGCCTAACCGCACCTCCCCTCATCTCAAACTCAGTGCTGAGGTGGTCTTCTTACTCTACCCCACTGGCGCCAGAACCGCCACGGCCGTCGCCAGAGCAGCTGCAGAAGCGGCTGGGCTGAAGCCTTTCGCTAATGCATGACCAGTCATACCAAGGGAAATTTGAGGACCAAAAATGAGCAGTATGTTGAACAGGGGTACCCTAGTCCCCAATGGAGAGTAAGAAGATTGCATTCTATTGTGGGCATCGTGCTTTACGAAAAGAATGTTGTGGTACCAGGTTTACCCACGACAGCTCACCTCTTGGCGTTTGACTCGGCTTATAAGTAAAATGGTCCTCTATGACACCACCCTCAACCACCAGTGGACGTTCAACTTTGGGGGGGGGGGGTCTGAACATTTTGTTTAGTTGTTGTTTGTTCTCATTCCAATACATGGCTAGTGTAGGGGCCTAAATAATGACCAATATTATGGTTCCGTAGTTCTTACAATTATAGCATCTGGTACCTCAAATGGACCTCAAAATGATATGGGTAATTACTTAGGCCCCTGTAGTAAAATCACTAATGACTCATGCCCCTTTGGTTTCAGGCAGGGCGCGAAGCTGCAGGTATGCTTACCTTAAACCCTAAACCAATTGATCAGACGAAAAGACTAGGAGGGCGTATTTGTTTTTGGCTTAGAGTTCAAAGGAGGCTTCACTACCTAAACCCTAAATCCTAAACCACCTAGCATTTTGTAGAAGCTGGGGAAATCGCCCATTAGATTTGGTTTTTCAGGGGCAAGCAACTACACGGATCCATCCTTCCATTCCTTCATTTCCTACTAGGGTTTAGCGCTTAGGGTTCTTGCGAGACATGGGACATGTACTGTATGCGAAAACTTCGCCCCCCCCTCCCAAAGTTGTAGGTTTTTTCTTTCTGCCGCCCAAAAGTAATCATGATTTGGAGAGATTCTCACACAGGGTTTAGGGTTTAGGGGTTTAGGGTTTACAGTCCCAGACCTTAGAAAACACAGATCACACAGGTGCCAGTCGAATTCTAGCTTCGGGCTGGTACTGTACAGTTCGGCGGTCATGGTATAGAGCAATCAGTTATAACCGCCCGAATTCCCCAACTGGACCTAGTTGGGTTACTAGTTCGAGGTAAAATTTGAGGTATACTTACCCTGACCTTCCCAGTAGGGCTTAGTTTACAGTTCAGGCTTGGGGTTCAGGGTTTCGGTTTTAGGGTTTCAGGTCATATAGGGTGTCGCGCCAGCTTCGGGTCAAGTCGCAGGGGCTTGAAGGTGCGGGTTCCAGCTTGTGACCTCTCATTTCCCGAGGTCCCAGACCTTTGGGCGGCCTAGTCCTCATCCGTAGCATGTTTCCCTTGAGATAAACTGTTGCAGGATCTGCAAGCAACCCACGCTGCAATACGTATCACAGTCATCAGTAAGCAGGTACCCTTCGTACCCTTGTCTAAATCCCAACACTACAACTACCAGAAGTAGCTGTCGTTGTCGCAGCCACCACCACCAGCGCCGCCGCCGTAGTCGTGCTCCTCGTCGTCATTGCCACGGTGTTGACGTCCTGGTTGTTGTCTTGGTCGATGTGATAGTCGAAGTCGTCCCGACTGCTGTTGTGGTGGTGCCGCTGCTTCTGGTTCTGCTGGTTCTGCTGGCGGCGCCGGTGCTGGCAGTGCTGCTGGTGCCGTTGGTGCTAGTGGTGCTTGTCTGGGTTTTGAGAAAAAGCACGATCTCCAGGTTGAAGATCCTTGAGTCTTGGCAGGGACTTCAGACATAAAGGCTAGGGCTTTGGATTTTAGACTTGGGGCTTGGGGTTGTGGACTGGCTTCGGTTCAGTTCGGGCCGGAGCAGCGTTCGAGCTGGCTTGTAATGAGCAATTTTGATCCCTATGTTCACGGTTTGTGACAATCAAGGGCTGCGGGATTTCGATTGTTTCCGGGACCCAAGCTGGTGCTGCTTTGGAATGCGCGCCCAGTTGTTTTATCAAGACCCTGGCATGATTCCATACCGATTTGAAGGTCCCAAAAGGTTTCCCACCCCTCGCGAGACTTTTGGTTGCCCTTGTTTGGTTCTTACGGTCAACAGAGGCATCGAAACAACGGCGCATGTGCGATCTCTAAAACCTAAAGCTTTAGTCAAGCTCCAGAATTGTTAGTGATTGAACAGGCTGCTGCTGTATACTCATTGGGCCGCCCTGCACTCCAAACCTAGGTAGGGAAGCATCCAAGTTAACAGCAGATAATATCCTGTAGTCTTTGGCCAGTTATTATTGTCGACCACAAGTGTGTTTCATGATATGCCTTCCTAGTTTTCGCCGGAAGCCTTCTTGCAGGCCTGCCAACGACTTGTGCTGGGTCTTTTATTGTGACGCCACTACGGGCTGGCCTACTATCAGTATTAAGTTGTTACAGTACGCAGTGCGTTTCTACCCAGTATTTCTTGGAGCATTAAACACAGCATGGCGACCCTTTGTTCACTTGGCACGTACCAGGAAGTTGCAAAGGGCATGACGCTATCGCCTCCTTCACCTGCTGAACTTGTCCTCAATTTCAGAAGCACTGGTGTTGCCTAAAAGCTGTTGCTGGCCCACATCCACATATGGATTGCTCCAGTTGTCTGTGTGCGCGTGCGTGTACCGTGTACCGTTTACCTTCATGGTGGGAACAGAAGTGACAGCCTCAATAGCACATGGGAAACGGCAGTAGCAACAACAGCACGGCCAGTTCTGATCACGAATATATCCCTACAACCAACACATGCAACCAGGAGTTGGATCCGGTCTAATCGTAACAGATGCAACCCACTTGCACTGCTTGCGGCTTGCGCCATTCCTGCTAGGAGCAAGTCGACATGTTGTGGCTTGATTAATGCAGGTCTTTTCAACATCTGAAATATTCCCAGTCAGGAGTTTGTATAGAGGGGCCGTGCAAGGCCATAGCAGAGCAATGCGTCATGCACCCAAACTGCAAAGAGGCAGCTCTAACGAGTGTTTTCTCGATGACTGAGAACTCAGGAAACCCGACTGCAGTTCCAGCAGCAGCAGCTCCAACAGAAGCAGGCCCAAGTGCAGCAACTGATCTTTGTGACCTGGCTTGGGTTCGGCTTGAATTTTGGGCGCAAGGGTGTAGGATTCCAACGTTGAGGTGTCTGTAGGTTTATATAAGGCCTGCTGGGGTTACATTAAAGGGACTCTATTGGGAACCCCAAACCGGGAACCCCAAGAATATAGTAGGTATGTAATAGGGATATACCTACCAGGGTCCTTATATTGCATTATATTCCTGCTATATTCTTGGGGTTCCCTATTTGGGGTTCCCAGTAGAGTCCCTTTATACATCGTGGCGTTTAGGGACCAAACGGTTTAGGGTATACGATTCGGGTTTCGGGTTAAGGGGCCTTTTGCGCCGTATAGACTTTTTACAGATTTGTGTCTGAGGCTCTGGGAGGTTACTTCATTCCGCAGAGAAGCCTAAACTCCAACCCCCAAACCCTAAAAACCCTAAAGCCTGCACCCTAAACCCAAACTCTAAAGCCCAAACCCTAAAACCCAAAACTTAAACAAACCTGGCGATGGTACAAAATTGGCAAAACGTTGTTGGAACATGCCTCTTTGAAGTTTGGTGCACGGAGCAGTCTCGCGCTAGGGTTTAGGGTTTCGGGGTTGAGGCTTCAGGGTTTAGGGTCTCACACAAAGCTAAAGCAGCTACCTTCCCCAAAACTAAGGCGGAAACCCAGTCTTTCAAGAGCCCCAAGAGGCCAAAGGGTGTAGGATTTAGGGTTGCAGGGTTGTAGGGTTGATGGTTTAGGGTTGGCTTTGGAGCGCTTGTACCAATGCGTGTACGACCCTCTAAGTTTACACCTTTTAAAGGAACCTTGTGCGGCCTCAAGCCCGGAACCTCTTGTACTAGCCAGGTTGGAAGCTGTGTAAGGTTTCAAGTTCTAGGGCCCCTAATGGGCATTCCTGATTGTAGGGTTTCCCCCCTTAAGGGGTCAGAGCGTAGCTCCCAAAACAAGATTCAAGGCTTCAAAGTCAACATCCTCACTCCATACCTCTGCACCGCACGCTTCCTTCTTGCTTACCCCTGCTCGTGCATCATGCAAGCTTGGAGGGTTCCTGGCCGGAGGCATGCCAGATAGGCCTAGCTTTGGCTTAAAGTTAAGGATGCTTAGGTTGTAAGCGCGAAATCCTGGTGCATCAGATCATGTGAAGGCGAAGTAGCAGCTCTCACCATTAATACCTAGCTTCCGCATGGTTCAAGTGTTGGAATATGCAGAAGTGAGCTGTGTAGGCCCGAGAGTGTATGGTGTAGGGCTTCAGAACCCAGAGCCGAAACCCTGAGGATAATTGAAGAGTACAGAATGCGGAAGCCCTCACCTGGAGATTGCACAAGTCTGAACATGCAAGACTGCTTCTCAAGCTCTACCAAGAAAGAGTTCCTATACAGGACAGGGCACTAAGCAGGTGCTACAGACGCTTGCGCGTTTGAATGTTTCCAGCATAGCGAGCCGTCTTCACAACAGCGAAAGATCTACTAAACCTGTGCCTGCCTGAACAAGCACGGCTTCAAAGCTACCAAAACTACAAATATGGATTTGGTTTCTCATAAAATGTCTTGCCTTGGGTCCTCACCTGTACAGTATGAGAGTTCCATCAGACGTGTTCCTGCGGAGGCCTAAGCTTTTATCCTGGCTGCTACCTAAAAACATCATCCAAGGTGAATCCGCTACAAGCGCAATTGCAAATCCAGCAATTGCAGCAGGCGCTTTCTGTGTATGTTGGGACTGCCGCCACCACCTGCCCTGCCCAACACCTCCGCTGCCGCCGCCACCACCCTGCCACCGCCTCCACTCCCCCGGCGCCCCGCCACCACCACTTGCACTGCCGCCGGAGCTGCCGGCACTGCCACGGCACCGCCACCCACTGCCGCCACAGTCACGGCCTGCCGCCACCCGCCGCTGCCCCGACGACGACCGCCACGACCGCCCCACAGCGACCACCACGACGACCACCACCACCGCCCCCACCATCACCGCCCCCACCATCACCGCCCCCACCACCACCGCAACCGCCACCGCCACCGCCACCGCCACCGCCATGCCACCACCACCTTGCCACCGCCACTGCCACCGCCACTGCCACCGCACGCCGCCGCCGCCGCCGCGGCGACCGCGACCGCGACCGCGACCGCGACCACCGCTGCCGCCGCCGCTGGCACCGGCACCTCCTTGTGATTCACAGCGCCAACGTGCTGCACAGGACACCATGAAGTTGCAGCAGCAATGGGTAGAGAACCGGCCTCGGTCTGCCTTGGTTTAAATAAAGGTTCGAGGTTTTTCAAATTCAGGGGTCAGTTAGAGATTTTCTCGTCCTTTGGGGACTATATTGCGGCGACGGAGGTCCCGGTAAATCTGGATTCTGTCATTCATTCGATTCATATTCGGTTGTCACGTTGAGTTGAGAAGCAGGGTTCAGGCTTCTAGGCGTAGACATGTTATATATGGAAATTCACGACGGGTGTGTGGTTTTGGGTTGCCGGGTGCGGGACTTGAAGGGCCGCGTTTGGCAGAGCTGCATTTGGTTCTATACCAAAGTCATAATCTTTGTGCACCCCCCCAACAGTGGCCTTGAACATATTAGGGGATGAAGGTGACCTCTGGGTCCAGGGTTTCCGGGCTGAGGTTGACTCGGCCCACAACCACTAAAACCTGGAGTCCTTACCCTACAGACGTGAACTCGGGGCGCTTTGTGGGTGTTCAAGATAGAGTTAGACGTGAATCCTAGGGACACAAGGGTTTACAACTATAATTAAAGTGCGGGGATCTGTTTCTGGACGGTTCAGCATACATGAGAGTCATGCCAGAGAGAAGAAAAGGAGCTTGGTTCACTGCAATGCAGGAGTGCTGAGCTTTTAAGGAATCTAGCCCATACACCGTCCACTCGGGTGCAAGTCTGCTGGGACTCTGGTGCCAGGAAAGCCTCACCTCGAAGCTGACGGCAAGTTAAATGCCTATAGGATTCTTGGAATAGCGCGTGGGTTTCTTCGCCTCTTGTTTGCCCACAGGCGGGTCTTGAAAGGTATGCAAACAGAGCTTCAACACAATCACGTTGTGGTTTTCGTTGCGCTGCATGGCTGGCAAAAAGGAGCCGGGCATACACCTGAGCCCCTAAAGGTGAAAAACAAATACGACAAGAAACGCATTCATGTGAGGTACAGCCAGCAGAAGGCACAGCTCGGCCTGGAGGCGGAGACAAGAAGCAGTTCATCGTTTGAATGAAACTTGGTGAGCGCTTTCTAGGCAACCTGTCTGGAGGTGAACGCTATTCTAGGGCTTTTCGTTAGGTTCAAAACGCAGTGCGCTGTGGGGAGGATCACGAGGACTCACGAAAGGCTGAACTAGTGAGTCGAGTTCTCAAGGCTTGGTGATTTGAGGCTTAGGGCGTGGAAGTGGACCCAACAAATCCTAGTATTGCGGAGGTAGCACGGGCCAGCAAAGGACCCGTGCATGCTATCCGCTATCCCATGAGGAATATGTGCGGAACTTAATTTTCCTTTGCCTGGTTTTCCAATTTTTTGGTCAGACTTGTGGCCCACAGCTGACCGCTCTTTCCCCACGCGCCCCACTCAGAATTCCCATACAATCCCAACATGCAGCCTCGATGTATCACAGTGAAGGTTGCCAAGATCATCCTGGGTGAACAAAGCTTATGCTTCAGGATGTTGGATCTACTTTGATAGACCCTTGGGTTAGGTGGTAATATTGTTTAGGGTTTAGATGGGTTTAGGGTTCTGAGGCCCATGGTCATCCCTTGTAAGCAAGTCCCTTGAACCATTAATAACCCCAGGATCCAATGGATCAGACGGGTGAAGTCTTGCTCACAGCCCAGATACCCTGAAGCCTAAGGCCTAGTCTTGAAGAGGCTTAGGCCTCAGGTCCAGCCACTTCGAATTAACATGGTTTCTCTTTTGCCTAGATGCTCTGTGGGCCCTGAATCTTACAAACCGTATCAAAAAATGTGGTGGTTTGAAAGGGCAGTGGTCCTTGTGGGATCCTTTCTTCTAAACCCAAAACCCTATCAACCCTACGTGCTTGATGTCAGGCAGATGGTGCACTCACAGATGCAGGATTGCCTCCCGCGTACCTCGGTGGAAGATTCAGCTACCCACTAGGTTACTCTGACTTCCTAAAGGATCCCCAAGAAATAGAACATGTTCCCTAGTCATTTGGGGGGTTACATGTTCTGAATCCTTTAGGAGGTCTGGGCAGGAAAGGGTGCAATTGGGCTTTGCAAGGTGTATTCTGTATGCTGGCATTTCCGAGGAGCAAACATTTGCCCGTGGTAGCTTGATGTAGTCCTAGCAACTAACAGCAGAGTTTCAGGTTCAGGGTTCATGGCCCGGAGGCCGCTTATGAAACGTAGAAACGCGAAAGACTTGGCAGGACTGGAGGGTGCCACACCTCTGCATTTCTTACTGTTGAAAGGCCTAGAACTGCACTTTGTAATCTCAAGGCCGCCTTTCATAAACCCCCACCCATCTGGAATATCATCTGCGCATAGCCCTCGTCTTGGTATAGTGCGTACGATTTGCCCCAAACTCTGCTTTAATTCTGCAAGCCCTTACGGTAGCCTTCACAAGGACTCGCAGAGCCATCAGAAGCAGAATGTGTGATTAAGAGCGAGCGTGGCAAAAAGTTGTGAAGTGAAGAGTCTCTTCCCCCTCTTAGAGAGGGAGACAGAGAGGGGGTTGAGGGTGGAGAGAAACGGACCGTGGATCAGGGAACGAAGTGCGTCCCAACTTTGCAACGTCTACCAGGGTGGTGCATTGCTCAGCACGGAAATCCTAAAAGCAGTGTCGCAAAACACAAATACGAACAGACCTGATAAGCTCTAGCAAAGCCCAATACTTTCCATAAATGTGTGGAGTTCTCTGTGTTCATTCGCCTTTCTGGTAATTGTTCCATCGTGGGGTCTCTGTGTTTCAGTGGCTTCGAGAAGTGAGCTCTGGGGTCCATGCCCTTCACCCATGCTGGGAGTTCCTCAAAGGAACCACAGGGCCCGTGCAATGAAGGGATCCATACAACCGCATTACCGCATCCCTCTGTATTCCTAGTGCCCCTAAGAATACCCTTCTGGAGCGAGTTTCTAGAAGAGAAATAATATCTCACCTGAAATCAGGCCTGGTATGCTACAGATACATAGCTGCCATTGAAGGAATACAGGGTCCCGTGTGAGCGTTACGTTTAGGTTCTATTGGGGTGTTTTGTCTGTCAAAAAAATTCTACCTTCACCCTTAAACCAAAACATCTGGTGGCCGTCCGCCCTAGATCCTTGCCTGAAGGTCTCAAGATGTAGCTCCAACGCAGCTGGCGCAGACGGATGCGACTGGGGCTGATAAAGCTTCAGGGCTCCTAAACCCATAGCCTCGTAGGTAGGTGTTCCCATAGTTCCCCCCTGTCGAGGTAGGTTATACTTAGGGGTTTAGGGTTCAGGGTTTAGGGCGATTATATCCTCCTCTTGAAGAACATTGTCTTACACTCTTGCCTGGTTCAACCACACGAAAAAGACCGCTCGTTTTTTACGTGCCCCCATTCACGGAATCGCAGGCTTTCTGAGATACATGGTAGGAATCCAACGCTTAAGACATGCACCGTAAACCCCAAACCCTAATTCTTCAACCCTAAGCGGTAGTTGCTCTCGGAGCTTCCCAACGGAATTTGACTACCTACCACATGAGGGTTTCTCAAAATTGGGGGTACCTTTTTTGGGGGTCCCGTTAATAAGGATGATGTTCTACGTTTGTTTGCTGCCATGTTGGCTGCTATTCTGCAGCCTGTGCACCACACTAGCTCTGCATAAACGTGTCAGATTGGAAGGCAGGGCTCTCTCGCACTCATTTAGAGTTTCGGGTATAGGACACCCTAAACCCTAAACCCTACCATGTTTTTGTTCGTCCTTAACGCTTCGCTGCAGACGCATCACCCTAGAATAACGACTGACAGCCGGGGTGTACTGTAGAAGCCCGATAAATCGCCAATGTTCTTTCCTTCTTAGAATCCTTTTGCAATTGGAGAAGAATGTGCGCAAGGCCTTATTCTAATTGTTTAAGCCGTTAGATGAGCTTACTGGTGGTTAGCAGGAAATAAGGGAAGATATAACCCCTATAAAGATATCCGCCCATACTAACCCTAAACCGTACATATAATCTTAGTCCATACTAACCCTAAACTCTAAATCCGGAACCCTATGTATTTGGTCCGTGCTGTTAGGGTCTTGCTAGGGGTCGGGGCTTGGGCTGTGGACTGCTTGGGCTTGGGTGCAGGACAGGGTACCGTTTTTTTAGTTGTTTTTTTTGTTGCAGCTGGAAGGGGGTATATAGGAACTTACAGGGATATTGTCTCAATGCTGGAGAATTCAGCGGACGAGGAAATGGAAATTGAATTGGACAGTAGGCATTACGCCCCGATAAACTAGTAAGGAACCAAGCGACTCCTGTTGACCACGTGATCCACATAGCATCGTTCTCTAGAGGTTGTTGTAGGCTGTAGGGCAAATCTAAATAACATCACCCGCAGCAAGTCTCCAGACACTCGCAACAAACACGCTTTCTTGTACGCTATCGTTCTAGGCTGCGAGCTTTGTATCCAAGCCCTGGCCGATGAACCGTGACCTCTAACGACGGAGCCTAAAACGTAAACCCTACAGATCGCTGAGGATGGGGCCGATTTTCAGGGGCAAGTTATGAACGAAAACGAAAAAGGTTGCATATACATACATGTGTATATATATATATATGTACATACATCTTTATAAGTTTAGCCATATACTACACATGTCCATCGCGTGAGGCAAAGCTTCAACGGAATTGCTAAACCGCAAGCCCGAAATCAACACACGAAGGTTGAGAAGCATCTGACAGAGCTCCTCCAGCGCGAGTTGGGGCACGCCTGACTGAGAGCAAAAAGTGGGCTTCAGCACGTGCAGCTTAGGGCAGGTTACAGAACTCCTCTGTGTTTTGTGCCTCGCTGCCATTGGAGATGCTGGGATGTTTTTGCTGGGATGGGCCAAAAGATGCCTTTTAGGAATTTTTGCGCGTGCATGAGGGAAGGTGGCCCGCTGAAAGGGCTTCCGCTGTCGGTGTCAGGTTTAGGCTTGGGGACTAAGCTGACAACAAAACAAATGCTCAGCAAGTCTACACTTGTCGAACACATTCGCACATTCTGATTTTCTTCGTGCCGTCCAACGAACGAATCCGAAGAAAAATACATAGGTAAACTCGCATTGGAAACGTACGGGCACATATTCATGTTGGCACGTATGTGCCACAAACAAGGAAGTCACTAGCATGACCGAGGACATCGGCTTGTAGACTCTTTATAGGGCTGAGCCCTGTAGAAACGCGAAGGCAAACAATTGCTTTAAGCATTGTTTTGGGGCTGCCTTACACCATAACCATACATAGATCATGAGGGGAAAATGGATAACACGTACATAACCCCCGCAACCGATGTAAGGGCAGTTCTTTGTACATGGCATATCCGGCAGCATTTTTTTCGGAGTGTCGATAGCCCTGCACCTGCACCATAGCCATATGCTTGCTGGCAACCCGGCTTCAGGTTTCGTGCTTTGGGTTTAGAGCAGAATGCAAACCCCTGATTGATAAACCGCCTCCTTTAAAGGGCGAAACCCTAAACCCAAACCCTAAACCCTAAACCCTAAACCCCAATCTTAGGGTCCCTATAATTATAATCCCCATTAGGGGTTTATGAATTGAGGCCCCTAGGGCTGAGGATTTGGGGCTTCGGGAAGAGAACGAGGGCCAAGCATCCTGGAGTTGAGCATTGGAAGTTTTACATGGTCAGGATCCATTGTTGTTAGGGTTTGGTGTTCAACTTTTAGTGTTTAAAGGTTGTTAGGGTTCAGGGTTTAGTGTTTAAAGGTTGTTAGGGTTCAGGTAAACCCTAAACCCTAAACCCTAGGTTTAGGGTTGTTAGGGTTCTTAGCGTTCCGGTCTCAGGTGTTGGCTCGGCAGCTCCTCGGCAAGACGGCAGCTATTGTGGCGCCTAGACTCTAAGAGCTTACCTGGGGTTTAGGGTTTAGGGTTATCATAGAGGTAACATTAGGGAATAAGGGGATATATATGGGTATAATATAGGGTTTGGGGTGGAGGGATGAATGATCAACACAGTTCAAGGTTTGGATTTAGGTTAGGGTTTCTACAAGGTTTAGGGTTAGGGAGGGCTGATGGCCTGGGCTCTGGGTTTCGGGCTGGCGGGTTTGGGTTGATGATTTACTTGTTGATCACAGGAGCCAGAAATGCGACACAGAAATGTGACATTCTGTCGCTCTTTCTTAGGTACTAGGCTGGCGACGGAAGAGTGAAGCCATCATCCATTGTGGAACCTCGGGAATCAGTATTACGAGTGCACTTACGGCCTGTGCCTGTGCCATTCTTTCTTTGGTGTACAAAATAGGGGGCCAAATAATTACCAATATTTTGGTTCCATATTCCTTGTACATTGATAGTATATGGTACCTCAAATGGACCTCAAAGCGGCATTGGTAATGATTTAGCATTGGTAATGATTTAGGCCCCTGTAGTACTGCAGTACGGAGCAGAGCAAAAACGAGACTGTTTATTTTGGGGAACAGGTTCGCAAGCAATCGTGCTCAGCCCTCACAGCTGAAACCAAAATTTGGAGACCTGATGTCTAAGGTCATAGGGGCCTTGATCATTTGGTGGATAGATTCTATGGGGAGTTTTTTGTTTCGCTCTGGGGGATGACTATTCAGTCCCTTGTGGAAGGTTCTTAAGCCAAAGCTCCGCATCATTCACGAAATCTTGGACCCAGAATCTGGATTTTGTGCCGTCAGGTTGTAGCCCTCATCCGCAACTGAAATCTTAATTAATGTCCGATCTTCGTATGGGCAGTTAGTGCAATTGAAAAAGCATTTGAAGTCTATGAAGCCCCAGGTAACATTCTTACACTCCCCAATGCTCCTAAATCTCCCAAACACACTCCAAGACTGCCTAAAGCTCCCTGGGTGCTTCTGGACCATCCCTACACCCTCAACCCTGAACCATCTGCGCTAAAGAATTCTACGCAGGGCCGATGCCAATGCTCAGGACTTGAAAGTTGGCACTTATGGAATACTAGTACGGCTCTAGGGATTAATGCTTTGGGGTCGCGTAGGGTGGTGTCAGGATCAGGGTGTCTGGCTAAGATTTAAGGTCCTGGGATGGTTTGCGCCGTTTTGTCGCAGGTCTGAAGCGCAAAAATTGGGGTTTCCTAAATTAGGAGTGCTATTTTTGGGGTCCTTAGATTGGGAGCTATAGTACTTAGTATGTTCAGGAAACTACCAAATCAAGAGGCGGAGGCAAACCCTGTGCCGGTTCTGGGTCTCGGTTTTGTCAGCGAGGAGGGCCTGGCGTTGGTTTGTACTTCCATGTTCGTTCATCTGGGTTGCTGTTAAGGAATTTAATTGAAGGTGCTATATTGCGGAAACCTTATTAATGACTATGCACCCATTACTCCCTACACGTTCAATACTCCGTTTCCTGGGTGGGCCTTAGAAACTGGCGATTCTGACGTGGGTTCACATTTTGAGGGTATCCCAGCCTGGCTCCAGGAGTGTGCAACATGATTGCATGGAAAAATATTCAGAAAAGGCAACCACTTGCACGCTGTCATTGTTGAAGCAAATTGGGCACCTTATAAACCCTATCGAACTGTTAATATCTTTCTCTACATCCCTTGGGTCATGTGCTTCTCCTCTACATGTTCCACCTGGTTTCCGCCCTCCCAGTTGGAGGCTCAACTAGAAAGATGAGCGGAATGATCGTGAGACTGTTCCTCAAGAAGTTGTGTTATTTGGGGTCCTCACCTTGTAAGGCTCGATGAATGCCGGGATTTTCCTTTTCCGACTGCGGAAATGCAGGAAGTCAGCAGCTTTGAAATTCTTCAACTCGATATTTGATTCCTGGCGCTACTCATGCTTTAGCCTGAAGTCTTTGGTCTTCGCTCTTTTATCGACAAGGCGCCGAGAGATGCTGAGATCACTTGCTAAAACGGAGAATAGACTCCGAAAAAACCCTGAAGTCAATGCGGACATATTCGGTTCATGGAGGTTGCAAAAAACAATTTCGGACATATCGGAGGTCTTGGTCGGCCTATAGCTCGTCATTCCAGACAGGTAATTGGAGCTTAGGGTAGAAAGATGGGTTCAGGGTTTAGGGGTTCCCTCCAAAAGATCCCTTCAACTCCCCTAGGGTATGCAGTTTCCTGGAAGGAGCAGCATACCGTCAGCTGAAGAGGCCGTTGGCGCACATGGATTGTGCAGGGGCTGTGCAGGAATTTCTTTGAATAAGGATTCCCGCTACATACCATATAACCCCTAGTATAATCCCCATATATTCCCTAGTTTCCATTTCATGTTCCATTTTCTTTTCCATTTGATTCTCCATTATTGTAGTTTTTTGAACCAACTTCTAAGCTAGAGGAATCTCCTCTCTGGAGGCAAAACGAGGGCGCCCTAATTTTGAGAACCCCGCAAATGAAGTTGCGCAGTGGTATCTCCAAGATTGTATGCGTGCAGGTTCAGGGTAATGATATCTGAGCCAGATATATCTTCTAGCCACGCAAAAATAAGCAGGTCCAGGCCATAACTACGAGATCCTGATGAAGTTTTGTGGATTCTTGTTTGGGGCCCGGTCGGGTTGTAAACATGCAAGCGCAGCGTCAGGAAGGAATGATGGGGTCTTTTCAAAATCTACGCATGCCCCAAACCCCGAAACTCCAAACCCCAATATTGCCTGAAATCACCCCCCGCTTGCTTTGCAAAACAGGATGCAATTTTGAGGTGGAATGAAGCGTTCCTCTCATCTCTTGCCGCCCTCAGTGAACACCTGGATCACTTGGATCACGATTGCCTCTGCTTTCCTACTATTTCAGGTCTTGACCTGTCGCCTCAACGTTCAGAAATCCTGATTTGTTCTGAATGGGTCCAGCCAGACAAGGGTGTTGCGGTAATGCAGATTCCAAAATGCCATCTCCTGTCAGACTTAGCATCAGACAGGCCCTTGGGCGCCTTTGACCTAATCTTGAAGGTAGTTTGCTTATGACTTATAACCTACCAAAGTTCAAGAGACACTTCGCGGCAATAGGCTGATTTCACCTAGACTAATTTGGTCTTTCTACACAGGTTTCTGCCGTGTGCTTCTTCAAGAAGCAAAGAAGTCATGGCTTAGTCGATGAAGGTTTAGAGTTGAACTTCTGTGGTTGAGATGTTACTGGAGGTATATTCTAAACTCCTGAATATAGAGGGGTTATATTGGGGATTATTTGGGGGACTACTCTAGGGGTTATAAGGAGGACACTAGGATTTTAGACAATGGCTCATTTAAAGAGACAGTTTATTTCAAGATTGAAGGTAAACGATCTTTCAGAAGGTGAAAGGACTTTGCCAAGCTTTTCCCGGACCCCGTGCTTGAACGCCATAAGCCCGAGCTCATTCCTGTGAGGTACCGTGGCCGCGATTCGTGCAGGCGGCCTTTGGGTTCTGCGAGCCGTAGTTCACCATGGAAACCACAACATATTGTAGCATGGTAACAGCAACAGCTTTGGCATCCAGAGTGTAAGAGCATGATCAGCAGTCACCACACCGAAGCGCATATGGGACCTTCTCGGAGTCACCATTCCGGATCCTCAGCAGAAACCACAAAATACCACCGACTTCCTGTAACGACTCCCAAGAAGGACCCATCTCCAGCTTGACGAGTTCACCCACTTTTGTTGAAACTGCCATGCCATCCCCGGGTGCAAATTGAGGATCCCACTTCCATGGGCCGGTTTTCGCTGACACCGTACAGTGTGAAGGCAGCGCCGGGCCATAGATCAGAGGCTGAGATGGAAACTGGGTTATACAGTGGTTTACAGGATTTAGGGCTAGAT